GTTGAAGGTCAATTATTTCATATGTTACTTATTGGCATAGAACGCACGATACAGTACGTTCATACAAACATTGTATCATAATATATTAGATTTTGTTAAAAATATTTGTTTAATATTTGCACCTTTTTCAATATATACTACTAAAGTAAACTGTATTCTATCATTAATTGATATAAATATAACATTAATGATATCTGTTCTAATGTTTGCCAGGAAAGGATTATATAGTATAACTATTTCTTGAATAACTCAAAATTTAGTTGAATTTTTATGAGAATTAACGGCAATAAACGCATATAGCTGGCTTTCGGTGCCAATATCTCGAAAAGTATCCGTCTTATCGACTCGCTATTGGTCTCATTCCATTCAGCAGCTCATTTACCTTCAGAAAAATGATAAATCGCGTGGATTTCCGCCAATTTCCGGCACTTTTGGCTATCCGAAGGTGCGTTGGTCGTTTTTTCGTATGGGGCGGTTAGGAGGAAAAATAAAAATTTCGTATCAGTAGTACACTGTACTTCTTCAACAACTATACCAAACAACATCGAATCACTATCTTGTAAAAAGTATATAGTTAAACATATCTGAATAGTATTTTGTATTACATGGATAACGCGTGTTGAACATCCGTAACATTTTATTCATAAACTTCAAATACCTATAATTGTGGATTACTGCTTTCGAAACTATTACTCAAAAAAAGGATTAAATATACGAAAGGATATGAACCGTAACACCGTACAAACCCCTTACCCACACGAAGAAGGGTAGGCAGATTAGGAGGCGGATGACACACCTTATATCCTAATCTGCCTACCCGGGCAGAATCCGCAAACACATCGAAAGGATTATACCGCAACTACGCAACCGTAAAATGCTTTAATTATGAAAATGCATGACCCTTCCTCCCCATGACAGTACAACTGAGGTATGCCTTACTAAAATATTTGACCTGACTAATTTACAAATATAAACTGCTGTAACACCAAAAAATACATGACCCTTCCTCCCCATAATAATAGACAAGAAACATGAACTACTATTATATTTAATTCTGTTTTTTTATGAATATTACTTACCGGTGTACATAGGAGCGGAGTAATAATATGAATTGGACCATACTCGGTCAGGTATCGAATACAACTGTGACTCTTCCACTATCTGACTCACCTTCTCCAACTGCTACAATTACATAACAAATCTGACTAATATCTCATGATAAATTCAAATGCTTCTATTGTCAATTTATGCTCCTTTCATTGCCAATTTATGCAGGAACGGAATACTAATATGAATTGGACCACACTCGGTCAGGTAGCAACCGCGAATAAATGCGCGCAAATGTTGGAGTTCCAGTATCTTCCGTTCAGTTATCGAGATCTCATTATCTGGGTCTAACCTAATCGCCACTGGAGCTTGAGTAGTATTTTGACGTTCCAATCTGAATACCTCCCTCAACGCTGTTCTCTTTTCAGCCACATTGTTTCCTATCGGCAATCCTCGTATTTGGAGTTCGTATGTCAGTTCATCCCCCAAAAGACGATTAACTTCCATGATTCTAATTTTCTTTTATTTTTTTCCGTAAATTCAAGTAGTCCCAATTAAGAATTCTACGCAATTCGTAGATAACAAAGTTGCTCGGAAATTAATTCCACGAAGTGAACCCAACCCCCTCTAAGAACAACCCAAAACCACCTCAAAGTAACCCCGTCTCCCGTTATCTTTACTTTCGTGAAGAAAAGGAAACTTCGAAATCTCCAACCTCCCTAAAAGATAGTTGAAAAAAAACTGTAATTATTTATATATATATACCCTGTATAAATTCTTTACAAAACACGAAAAAACGAGAAACCCAATCTCTGAAACTATATATCCTTTTCCGCGATAATCGAGACAAATTGTAACAGATTTTAATAATATACACCCTGTATAAATTCTTTACAAACCTCGGAAAAGCAAAAAGAACATACGAAAAATTATACCCTTTTCCGAAATATCTGAGAAAAGAAAAGTTACAATTTATGTACACCCTGTATATCTATATACTTTTCCAAGAACCGGATATTGCGATCTCTTATATACCCCTCGTATACCAGACCTCGAATACCTCTGTCACCTATTGACCACAACACCTTGTGTAGGTATGACCTCAATGCTCTAAAATTATGAATCTAAAGCACGCAATGCTCATCTGCACCAACAACTCTGGAATCGTGGCAAAACTATCGGCGAAATCATACCATACCTGTCCGCTCAAGCTCAAGTAAATCCAAATCACTAACCGAAACGAGAGAAAAAAATAGTAAGATAATGGCTAAAGATAAACCTCAGTTGAGAGTTGCTTACTGATCACCCTGTATAAACAGATCCGAACACGTTTGGGCGCCAATTTTGTTACCCCTCGGTACTCGAGAGGCAACAAAAGGATTGATTCTTGCTCGGGGAATCCCTTTTGTTGAGTTTCCGTATTTTCCACGATTGGAAAATAGTTATTTAGAATACAGCTCAGGGAGAGGGGTGGGTAAAATAAGTTGAACACTAAATTTCGTGAATGGCAACTCTCAAGTGACGTTTATTTAGTTTGATTTATTAATGATCTGAGGATCTAGCACGGAACCACAGAATAAAAAGGTCTGTTAATCTGTGACAGAACCACGAGTGGTCATCCGGCAACACTGCTCGTACACACGCTGACAAATGACAATTGCGATCCTTCAACTTCAACTGACTGTCACGTTCACGTATCAATTCATATGTCAATTCGCAAAGGTAACCATATTTTTGTAAACAACAATAATTAAACTTGATAAACATGCAAGAACAAAATAATAATTACGTGAGACAAATGATTTGGATGAACTATTCTTATGGTCCTATTCAATTATTAATCCAGCTCAAGGATCCAAGATAATGATGGCACTCTATATGAATTTCATGACATAACTCCTGTGCTGATTCTCCAGCACTCAGTAATCAGGCCTATAGCTGAGCATCAATGAATCCTATGACCGCCCTACAGATATATACAGTATTCACTTTTATTCTCCTTCATTGATATGAACATGGAAAGGAAGTCCCAGCTGTCTTTGTTTCACACTTATAAATACCTTTGCTTAATTTGGAGTGAGCACCATCTATACGTAATTCTATGTGAGCACAAGAGGTACTTATTCCTAAGTGAGCACAAGAGATACTTAAGCCTAAGTGAGCACAAGATAGACTTAATACTAAGTGAGCACAATATATCCTTAATACTAAGTGAGCACAAGAGTCATGCATGCAAAGCAAGGATGCAGTGTTACACCAGTGTTGCATATGTCAAAATGAAAAAAGTAATGTTCTCAAAGACAGAATAGTAATAGATAGTAACAGACCCTGTCAGGGGAGAGATGCCCGCCGCAGGCGAATTTTTTTTTGCAATCTATTACTATTTCTTGAAAATCTATTACGTTTTGATGTCACATTGCCGCATGCGCAGACATCTAGAGTCAGGACGCAGAGACGTGCTTGCAACACCATGCTTCAAGGTCAGATTAAATCCGTGCCTATGAAGACCAAGAACCCATGCGCCTCTAGTGGCGCAATTGTAAGCTTCCTGTAAACGGTACTATTTCCGAATACTAGAGGTCACTCCTCTATAACTCTAGTTTGGGACATAGATTATCTATAAGTATTTGAAAATATTATTTATTCTCATCGTAATTCAAATAAAACAATTCATTTCATGAATAAACTTCGAACAAAGGAACATATAGCTATTCATTAAATAATATAACAGGAGTATCAGTCATAATTCATTTTTAAACTAATTATTCAAAAAGATAAATTTTCATTATCATCACCACTATTATATATGCTGATTGTTCTATTTATAAGAGATGGTGGTATCTTAAAATCATAACAAGTATTTTTAATGAGTAATTCTTTGGTATGTATCAGCGCATTGCAAGTTTTTACCATCAGTTTATTCCTCATCTTTGATTTGATCAAATTTAATTGGTAAAAGATCCTCTCGGCCGCTGCCGATGAGTGTGGTAGAGAAAGTAACCCTTTAACTAATAAGGTGATATTCGGAAACATCAATGCATCCATTCCATTTTTCATTTTGAACACTGCACTCCAAAATTGGCATAAATCAGATTTTTCAAGAGATTTCAATTCCTCTATGTCAGGTAGTTGTCTCCATTCAGAATTTAACTCCTCTGGATTATTAACAAGAATAGGAAAATGATTTACAATGCTGACAATTGATGTGACTTTACCTGATAAAACAACAGTGGGGTCAAGATTCTGAAGGAATTTCAGTACAGGATCATTAAAAGAAAATCTTGTTTTTATCTGAACACATAATTCTTTGTAGAAATCTAGACACCTCACTTTCAGATTATAAACTTCATTCTTGTCAATATTGCGATTATTTTGAATTATTAGCTCACAGTTGGCACCAATATAAATTTCATCAATGTTTTTATAGTTTTTTGGTTCCCATAAATTTATATTTCTGACCTTTTCAAATTTATCTAAATTCTCATTTCCGAGCTGGCATGCCTTGTCTTCAAAAACTTCATGTTTTATAAAGTTTTTTAATAATGTTGTGTAGAGTTCTGTTATTCTACTTATGAGCTTATGTATTTTGGGATGTTCACTCTGAAACTCTATGTTCAATTTGTTCACCATGCTCAGTACATAACTCAAAAAACTGAAATATAATTTGAAAATATCATTATTTAAGGCACTCAAAATTGTTTTTGAATTTGTTGATTTGGCGTCTTCAGCGACAGCTGATGTGAAATGTAATACTAAAGCTTGCCATTGTTCTAAAATTCTGTTGACAACGTTTTCTAAGGATAACCATCTGGTTTGGCTAACACGGAGCATTTTGTGGGGTTCTAAATTGAGGAATACTTGACACTCTCTTAGCTGATCAATTTTTTTTGTGCTGTGTGCAAAATGATTGCAGATGTCTTTGCATAATTGCTCAACGCTATTAGGTAACTTACAACAAGCTGCAGATGATGCAAGATGAAATGAGTGGCACACACAACCTAAAATGAACATATTTTGTTGTTCTTCTTTGAATAGGGCTTGAATCCCAGTTTTGTTGCCCATCATTACATTTGCATTATCTGCAGCAAATCCAAGCATATTTTTTTGAGGGATATCAAGTTCAGTCAGAAGGTTTTTTATGGCATTGTATAATCCTTTAGCAGTTCCGTCAGCTACCTCAAGTAGGGCAAGAAATCTATCTTGAGTTCCACCTGCATCTTCCTTGAAATATCTTGCTACAACTGCTAAACTTTTTTTTGACCCAATATCTGTGGTTTCATCAATTATGAGGGAAAAATAATTTCGTTTCAGATCCTTAGAAAGTATTTCTGAATTATGAGGACCAATTAGGTTGGTACATAGGGCTGTGCCTTTGAATCTACTAAGATGCACAGACTTTGCAATTTCAGAGTCTGTGCATATAGAAGGCAATAATTTCGAAAGGTGATCCAGCAGTAAAAATGGCAAATTATGTTCTGCCAAAAACAAAATCAATTTAATTTCCCCCTCTCTGACTTTGTCATTGAATTGTTTAACTTTGTCACACTCAAACGATTTCGAAATACTTGGAGTCTTTCGGCTAGCCTGAACTAATCTGGAATGTGTTGCAGTCTTTGAGTGCCGCCGTATGTGGGTGATACCACCAGCCAAAATTTTATTGCATACTTTACATTTGGCTTGATTTTGTGGAGTTTTTTCCAGCCAATATGAGAAGTCCTCGTCTGATGTCCATTTGGCTTTATATTTCTGTTTGTATGATTTTTTTTTTCTAGGTGTAGGATTTTGTTCTTCAGTTTCTTCAGCAGATGTCAAGTTTTCTTCGGAAATACTGACACTAACAGCTGGACGACTATCCCCAATATCAGCATCAGATTGGGAAGTTCCTGTGGTTGAGGAGGTTTTTTTTATCAGGAACCTTGAATAAATTAGCCCAATTTATATATTTGTCAAAACAAAAACCCCCAATAATATGGAAGCTATCGAATATTTACCTGTTCATAATAATTATTATTAATATTGATAATCGTTGAATAATTTTCTCTCGAGTCTAGAGTTTGAACAGCTAATCTTTTTTGCACGGAAAACCGGGGCCGGGGAAACCCAAAAATACATGTGAAATTTGTCAAAACAGTCAAATGTCAATATTCACAGAGTGTCACAGAACCCACAAATCACAGATCAGGTGCATAAATCCGTGATTCAAATCGCATGCATTTGCATATCTTACATCATGACGAATACTTGATCTAAAATCGCCCGATGATGACGTTCTGTTCGAATAGTAATAGATTTGGCATTTTTCGAGAGTGTACGTAATAGCGTAATAGATGGGATCTGAAAGTAATAGAACTATTACTATAGTAATAGTATATGCAACACTGTGTTACACAGGCCAATAAGCCAGTCTGCAACCTTCACCAGGTAAGGCAGCCAAAGCTGATAAATAAGATAGATCTTACTTGTGATCAAGCATCCAGGGATGATATGCCAATGTCACTCCAACCCCGTTGCAGCTAGGATTGGTTAGCTTATACCTTGTAGATTTCTACATATAGGGACAATTTATATTGGTAGGGGTCTGGAGGATAGGCCACCAAAACTAGGGATGGTTCGAGGGTAGGCCCCAGGTCTTTTCGAAGCAACTCCACAGGTACTGAAGGGGTAATAAGAAGGCCTAAAATCATTGATTGTGTTGGTAACTGGACTGACAAAAGGGAGGATTCCTGGGAGGCTCACCTTGGATGAAATGTGGCCTATCTGAAGGTTTCGACAAGAAACTGGTGAGTCAGGAGGAAAATATTATAAATCCACACTGTGTTGTGAAATAATCAACTTAATGATTGATTCTTCTAATATTTTCCAAGTTTTCCTTTTTGGCTTTGAAATCTGCAAATTCTGCAATTTCCTAAGCACACATGCTATACTGGAGGTTAAAGCCAAAAAAAAAGGAATCCAGGTGACACCTACAATTTTTGGAGGCAAAGTCCTCCCAATCCTAACCTGTCTCTCACAACTGCTTGTCAACCTCTTTCTCTTGTTGACAATGTCTTGATGATGGTTGTGTCTCCATACTAAGACCAAAAGAAGAAGGAGGAAACAGAACCAGGGAGCAGAATATAAAGAAAGGAGAACTGGCTGTGGTTCAGTCACAGAAGATGTTCTGCACTGGCAAGAGGTAAATCCATACTCATAACCTATCCTAACCAACCCAAAACAAAATAATCTGATGGAAGTTATTTATAATTATTTCTGATTTTCAGGAATGAACATCTTGAGGTGCAGGGTTACCATTGGCTGATGAAAACTGGCTACCCTGGATGGAACAGGTCAAAAGCCAGGAGTAGGGGACAAGCGGGTAAGTACAAAGCTCCTGGTAATCTCATTATCCTAATACATTGAATGATTTTAGGGGTTACTGCAACGAGGAGAGCACCAATCCCAGAGCTGTTAGATACCGCAGGATTACCATCTATATCTGTTGTTATAATATGATACTTGAAATAAAGATGCAAATGAGCGTAGGGCTTTGTATGATATATCTGAATCTGGCACCATTCTCTCATCTAAATGCATTAATTAGTAGATTTCCCATTGAGATCAGAGCAGGTACTTTTGGATCGTAACAACACCCCCTCTTCTTACAAAAAAAAAACTTCTAATGAAGAACTTATATTCTTCTGAAGAGTCCGTATCGGGAGGGTGAGCCTTGAGGTCCTTGGCATGCCATACGCCAACGCTTTTACCCATATCACTGGAAAGCTCATAGGACCAGGGGGAGACGATGCGTGAAATCGTGAAGGGGCCATCGAATTTGTTAAGAAATTTTGCCGTCACTCCACGAGCCTTGTCCGAAATCGCGTAATTTTTCTTCCACACTTGTTGATTCAGTACGAACCGTTCGTCACGACGTCGAAGGTTGTATTGCTCACTACTCCTTATAAAGGCATCCTAAATTCTTTTACTCACATCTTCGAAAACTCGGCCAAGAACCTCATTTCGGATAACTGCATCAAAAGGTGTTTGGTCGAGCTCATCTGACAAGAAGTGTTTGTCTTGTCCCGATAATCTTATCTCCCCGCCAAACATAACGAAATTTGGGGTTAATCTTGTAGTTTCATGTCGGGCCGTCCGGATTGCGCACGCCACTTGTTGGAGCAACTTGTCCCAGGTGCGGTGATTATCGGCAACATAAGATGTCAATATTGTTTTGATAACCCGGTGGCTGCGCTCCACCGGATTGGCTTGAGCGTGATAATTTGATATGTAGCCTGGGATAATGTCATACCTTTGTAGTAGCAACTTGAACGATCCACTCCGAAATTGCACCCCATTGTCCATGATGACCCGTCGAGGAGCCCCAAACAGAAGAATTATATTTTCCTCAAACAAGGTGGTCACTTTTGCCGCCGTTGCCGCCCGTAATGGGAACAAGAGAATAAATTTGGAGAATATGTCCATTACTGAAAATATATACGTATAGCCCGCGGTAGATCGAGGTAACGGACCGACTAGGTCGACGCTTAAAATTTCCCATGGTCGTGATACCGTAGGGCCAGCACTTAGCATCAGTCCCGCCGGTGCCTTCTGCTCAGGTTTGGTCTTCAGACACGTCTGGCATCTATTTATGTACCGCGCGACATCCTGACGAAGTTTGGGCCAGTAGAACTTTGTGGCTATCCGGGAACATGTTTTGAAGATTCCCAAGTGTCCTGACGTGGGAGGGTCATGATTTCTCTGGATGATCTCCGAGCGATTTTCTTTCTGGACCACCAACAGCCATCCATCGGATTCTTCCGAGAGACCTGGATAAGGGACCTTGGTCTTTTTGAAAATACGCACCCCCTCTATCCGCCAAAGGGGATAGCGATCAGGTCGGGCCTCCACTAGGGCGATCATACGCCGATACCATGGGTCCTTCGTGGTTGGTGGGGCTTCATCAGCTGGACCATCGACAGAGTCCACAACCGGAACGGCTCGCGATAGGGCATCTGGAACGCAATGTTCGCGACCGGGCCTATGGACTATATCGAAATCATATTGTTGGAGCCGCACCGCCCATCTGGCGATCCTGCCAACCGGGTCCTTGATGTTATTAAGCCACTTGAGACTGTGGTGGTCGGTGATTACGCTGAACCTCGTTCCTTCTACATAAGGTCTTAGCTTCTCAATAGCGAACAGCACCGCCAGGCATTCCTTCTCGGTGGTGCTGAACTTTCTTTCCGTGGCCGTTAACGATCTACTCAAGTAACAGATCACCTTCTCCCCTTACTCGGAAGCCTGCGAGAGCACAGCCCCAATACCGTAGTCCGATGCGTCGGTTTGTATCACGAAGGGCAGCTCGAAGTTTGGAAATGAAAGGACGGGCGCGGTGATCAAATGGTCCTTGAGAGTGCGGAAGGCCTGATCACAAGACTCGTCCCAGACGAACTTCGAATTCTTTTTCAGCAGCGCACAGAGGGGTGAAGTAAGGGAGGAAAAATTTGGCACAAAGCGCCTGTACCAGGAGGCCAGCCCGATAAGTCTCCTCACCTCGGTAACAGTACGTGGTGGAGGAATCTTAACGATTGCCTCTACCTTCTCTGGATCCACCATCAACCCTGATGAGCCTACGACATAGCCCAGGTATTTGAGTTCCGCCTTGCAAAAGTGACATTTATTCTTATTCAGCGTCAGGCCCGCGCCCGCAAGTCGCGCCAAAACCTCTGTCAGAATATGAAGATGTTTATCGAAGGTGTCTGTGCATATGATGACGTCATCGAGGTAGACGAAGACGTATTGTTCTAAATCTACCCCGATAACCCGATCGATGAACCTTTGCCATGTTGCAGGAGCATTGTGAAGGCCCATAGGCATCCGGGTAAACTGGAAGAGCCCCCGATTGGGTACAATGAATGCGGTCAGTGGTTTTGACTCGGCCGATAAGGGAATCTGCCAGTAAGCAGATTTGATGTCCAAAGTGGTCAAATAGTGCGCATCCCGTAGCTTATCCAGGGTAGCACTTACTAAAGGCAGAGGGTAGGCGCCCCGTTCCGTGACCTTGTTGAGCTGCCGGAAATCTACCACAAATCTGTAACGACCGTCATCTTTTCGCAGCAACAGAATAGGCGAGGCCCAAGGGGAGGACGAGGGCTCTACTACTCCGCCAGAGAGCATTTGATCCAACTCAAGATGCACCTGCTTCAATAGTGCTGGAGATACCGGGTAATATCGCTGACGAAGAGGGGGAGAGGTAGTCTGGATGACATGAGAAACTAAGTTGGTACATCCTAGTTTAGTCCCCATAGAATGAAAAGTTGCCTCAATCAAGGCATCTAGCTGTCGGCGTTGAACGTCCGATAGGGTACTGATAGAATTCAGATACTGTGGGGCCGACTCCTCCTCCTCCGAGTTCCGGAAACTCCATTCCCCCGAGAACATGTCCGGAATGATTCGCATCCTTGACCAGAAGTCCATACCAAGTATAAGAGTATGTGGAAGAGAGGGAACTACCAATATCTCGAAAATTTTCACCTTACCACATAAGTTCACTGGAACAGCAATCATCCCCACTACGGGACAGCTGTGTCCATTAGCAACCGTGCATTGCTGCTCGGAAACCTCTTGTAGTCGACAGAACGGTTCAAGAATTTTCCAACCCCTCTCTCCCAAAACAGTGCGAGTACAGCCCGAGTCCAATAGGGATAGGAACTTTTGGCCCAAAATATCCACCGTCAGATATGGCCTCGTGTCACCCTTTGCGTGAGCGAGCACGTAATCGATGATTACGGAAGTTCTTTGATCGACCGGGAGGATAGTAGTGGGGAGGTCTACCCACCGGCCTACTGGTGACCTCTTCTCGAGTTTTTTGCGCAGTTGGGACATGAGTATGAGACTGTGTCCAACCGTCCGCACTTGAAGCAAAATTTCCGAGCCAAGCCATCAATGTATCACACTTAGGGTCTAACAGGAATTATTACAGGGATATAGGGTGTTCAAAATCGAGATTTTTCAACTTTAGGATTTTTTTGTGGCGAAACTATTCATCATTGATCAAAACGGCTTACGTGTCCCTGTATTAAATTTTGATCAACTATCTACTGACATTCAATTGGAAATATACAGGATGGTCCAAGATTCAGAATTTTGATCACCCTGTATCTGTTCCAATTGAATGTCAGTAGATAGTGGCTCAAAAGGTGAGATAGTAACATGTGAATTGTTTTGATCGATAATAAATAGTTTCGACACAAAAAATTCCTGAAATTGAAAAATCTCGATTTTGAACACCCTATATCTCTGTAATAATTCCTGCTAGACCTCAAATGTGATGCATTGATGAAATCAGCTCTTTGAGGAAAATTTAAAATCACAATGAAATACAGGGTATTCCATTTGAAATAACAAAGATGATGCTACTTTTTGGTAAAAATGGCAACGCTGAAAATATTTTGAATCGTTAGATCACAAACGCTTATTACAATAACCAAATTTTCAGGATAATCTAATGTACCTACCGTTTTCCGTATACGTCTAAGGTACCATTGATAGTGTGCCACCCTGTATACCTAAATAATTCATCTAAATGGACAATACCATTGTAATCATGCATATACCACAATATATACACATAAATTTCAACATTTACATCATTAATGAAAATGATAACAATACATACATAATTATTCACCTAATTTTCATACAAACAAAATAAATACTACAAAAGATCCGACATACTTATTATGCACATTTTCTTCAGGTTCAGTTTGCAGATGCAGTTACTACTTTCCAATGCCTTCCATAATAAATACATAGAAATCATTCGAAAAATATTATTATATAAAAATACTGTTAGACATGTCAGCCTTTGCAAGTGTGTATGCCTGTACTAACTCGTCCTGAATTTTTTTCGACTTCGTCGAATTTAAACAAAATTCGTGAAAATTTTTCTCTGTTAAATCCTCTGACTTGTTTTTATATACCATTCCCTTGGCATCTCTCCCATAAAACTTTACTTTATAGGACAGTGCCTGTATCATGAAAATTTTACATGGCCAATAGGTATAACCTTTTACTTTGCCTAAAATAATATCACCAACTTTATATTTATATTTGTCACATTTTGTTTGTGATACTGATTCCAATTCAGTTCTCATTTCTAATCTAGAAATTCCAATTGACGAAGTTGATGACCCTGGTCTCTCAATATCTTCAACAGCTGTACCTTCAGATGTAATTTTAGTTGAATTTTCAATTTCAACTTCAATTGGAGCTACAACTCCAGTTGATCTCACGATTATTTCATTATCAATTGGAGCTATAATTTCAGTTGGAGTTGATGTTGTAATTGATGTTGATTCATTCATAGGTATAACTTCAGCCGAAGTTATACCTGCAGTTATAACTTCGTCTGAAGTTATACCGATGCATTCATTTGCTGTCGCCATATTAATTGAAGTTGAAACAACTGGAATTGTAGCTCCAATTGAAGTTGAAACTTCAAATGGAACTGTATCTCCAATTGAAGTCGGAACTTCTACTACACGTGACATTGCAACTACATCAGATACAGATTCAACTACATCAGATACAGATTTAACATTTGATGGTACCAGTGTTATTGATGAAATGACATTAACAACAGAATTAGGACGAATAATTCCACTAGAACTGAAATTGTCATTTTGATTCAGTGGACAAGCTCTTTCAATGACATCAACAGCAGAATTAAGACGAGTAATTCCACTTAAATTATCACTGTGATTCAGTGGACGAGGCTTTTCGAAGTGTTCAATAGTTAAAAATTCTAATTCAGAACTTGACTTACGAGTTATTTTAGACTTTACTGATAATGAATAGTGTTCCTCAAGTTCCGAACCTGATGAAGAAATATTCTTCGCAGATTCATTATGAGCTACGTTTTGATATTCAGAAGATTTTGAAATACTAGATGTAGAAATTGATTTTGAAATATTAGATGTTGAAATAGATTTTGAAAATTGAAATTTTTCATCAGTGTCAGAACTTGAATGATATATATTCTACTTGTTGATGGTAAAGCTATTGTTGAAGATGGTAAAGCTATTGTTGAAGATGGTAATCGTTGTGACGGTTCAATCATCTCATCGTCATCGTCTGATTCAATATCATCTTCTACTTCAACTTCGTTACTTGATTGATTATCCTCATCAGATTTGTTATCAGAGTCTGATTCTGAAGAAGCAATATATGAAGTCGATGGTAAATCAATATTATATCTTTTTTGTCGGTGACTATCGCGTTCAAACGTCAGTTCTAGGTGGAACTTTCGTCCTAACGGTTAAATAGTTATTCACGCTATTTCTGAGTAAAGCCTCAGATGCTGAGTCATGAAACATATCCGCATGTTCAAAAAAACGTAACGTACCTTTGGCCTGTAATATACTCCGAAATAAGCGTAATCTTTCATCACTTGCATTTACTTTAAATAAGTGCTCATAAATGGTTTTAGCAACAGTTATGCTAACTGTCCTACCTAATTCAATGTCTTTAATTGGAAATATATTCCTAACATATATTGCCACAGCTGCATATGCTGATAAATACCATAATGGCTTACTTTGTAATAATTCCAGGGGAAAGTTTATAACAGCATTAGTCAAAGCATCTAACGTCAACAGAGAAGGGCGTGATTTATATTTTAAAATTTTAAAATATAATGTATTGTAATTTAAATTCTTTTGAAGTTTTTTACATTTTCTGGCATATCTCACCAACAAACCTAGTTTAACCGGATTTTTCACAAAAAATTCAGGAGTAAATGTAGTAGGCATATTACGTATTATTTTCGAATGATCTCTATATATTTAAAATGAAGACGTGGAATTAGTTAACTCCTCTGAGAATTAATTATAGCACATCTGAGAAAAGTAGAAACTGTGTAACGACATGGACTGTACTGATGATGGCCCACTAAGAACGATATCTGTTGAGATAAAAAATATATGATAATTTATATGAACATATTAAACTATTTATCTTCAATAAATATAAATTTATTGGGAATGTTTTGAAAATTCTAGTAGTATCAGGAGAAACAGATAAGGATACAAAAATTTTTATTACTATTTTTTTATATGCAATTTTTTATAGTTAAATAGTTGAATTTTTCTTTTCGGAATAGAATTTTCTAGAAATAATAAATTTTATTTAAATTGTAATGAAGTGTCAATTTTCAGTGAAATTGACGAATTTTTCATATTTCCTAGTGAATTTTCTGAAATGCAAGTGCTGAAACAATTTATAAAAAACGTAAATTTAAAAAAGAAACGGATAATTCTACGTATTCTAAAAACTGCTAATCCAAATTTTGGGAAATTTGTATCATTTCTAAAATCAAACATAAAAAATAATATACATGTACGACATTTGGTTATCGAATAACATAGGTTTCTTGAAATATTTTCAATTCATCATTATCTAAGGCTCTCTTTCAAATACTTATAACTATACAGGGTGGTCCACGGTGGATGGCCTATTAGAAGTATCTGTAGAACGAAAAGACAAAACGTCCTGAAAATTGCGATTCTTTGATGATTAAACATTCTTTATCCATTTAAAATATTTTCATCGATACAGTGTTGCCACTTCTATCAGAAACAACTAGCAATTTTGTTATTTCGAATGGAACACCCTGTATTTTATTGCATTTTTAGATTCTTTCTAAAGACCTGATTTCATCAATGCATCACACTTGGGGTCTAGCAAGAATGATTACAGAGATATAAGATGTTCAAAATCGAGATTTTCCAATTTTAGGATTTTTTTGTTTCAAAACTATTCATTATCGATCAAAACGGCTTATATGTCTCTATCTTAACTTTTCATTGACTATCTACTGGAATTTGATTGAAAAAAATACAGGGTGTTTCAAAATTCAGACTTTTGGTCACCCTGTATCTGTTCCAATTAAATGCCAGTAGATAGTGAATCGACAGTTGAGATAGGGACATGTAAGCCGTTTTGATCAATAATGAATACTTTCGACACAAAAAAATCCTGAAATTGTAAAATCTCGATTATGATCACCCTATATCTATGTAATCATTCCTGCTAGATCCCAAGTGTGATGCATTGATTAAATCAGTTCTTTAGAAAGAATCTGAAAATGCAATAAAATACAGGGTGTTTAATTCGAAATAACAAAATTGCTAGTTGTTTCTGATAAAAGTGGCAACACTGTATCGATGAAAATATTTTAGATGGATAAGGAATGTTCAATCATCGAATAATCGCAATTATTGTACACATTCCTAATTTAAATTTCCATAAATTTATATCATTTCCAAAATCAAACATGACAAGCAATATACATGTTTGAAATTTTGTTATTTATTAACACAAAGTTGCTGAATTATTTACAATTCATTGTTACCTACGTATTTCTATCAAATATCCATAACTACATATCATGTTTTTATGAAATTGTATTTCTATTTTTTTTTTGAATAATGTATGAATAAAATATTTCTATGTAACACCGGGACACCCTGTATGAATATTCTAAACAATTTTTTATAATTGAGGAAGTGATACATAACTTATAATAGTTCACGATATGTATATACTTACATAATTTCGAAGATTTTTTGTCAGCTATATCCCTATGTTTGGAAGATGAAAATTCCTCTTGAAGAAACTGCTGAAGACTGCGGGAATTATGCCAGATGATGACTAGATCCAGATCAAGAAGAATAAGTAACTGTTAACATAAGAAAGAATGGATTAGCTATATGAACATATTGTGTATTGTATTACTGATTTAATTATGTTGAAAATGTCACAAAAATTCAATCAGAAACATCAAAAATTGGTAAAACATTGAGCACTTATTTCCTCCAACTTCTTTTATGCATTTTTTGATAGTTAAAACAGTAAATATTCAAACTTTCAAAATCGATTTATATTAAAAACAACTAATTTTATCTAAATTAAACAAAAGTATCATTTTACAGTGAAAATGATGAAGTTTTCTTTTATCTGGTGAAACTATGGAAAATTGTATTGAAAAAATATTGAAGATTCAAAAATGCCTGGTTTCAACTATTTCGCACACATTTTGAAAATGAAAAATTTCATAAATATGCAGAAAAATTTGTTATCTAATGATGAATTGTTTCTTAAAAATTTATAATAAATCATAATTTAGTGTTCTTTTTCAGATGATTATACATAAACATGAAAAGCAATATACATGTTCGAAATTTCGTTATTTATTAGCACAAAGTTACTGAAATATTTACAATTCATCGTTATCTACGGATTTCTTTCAAATATCCATAACTATACATGGCATGTTCATATGAAATTCTGTTTAAATTTTTTTTGCATAATTTATGAATAAAATATTTCTATATGTAACATTGGGACACCCTGTATGAATATTCTAAACAATTTTTTATAATTGAGGAAGTGATACATAAGTTATAATAGTTCATGATATGTATATACTTACATAATTTCGAAGATTTTTCGTCAGCTATATCCATGTGTTTGAAAGATGAAAATTCTTCTTGGAGAAACTGCTGAAGACTGCTGCAAAATAGGTATGCCAGATGATGACTAGATCCAGAGCAAGAAGAATAAGTAACTGTTAACATAAGAAAGAATGGATTAGCTATATGAACATATTGTGTATTGTTTTACTGATTTAATTATGTTGAAAATATCACAAAAATTCAATCAGACACATCAAAAATTGCTGAAACATTGAGCACTTATTTTCCCTAACTTTTTTTATGCACTTTTTGATAGTTAAACCAATAAATATTCAAACTTTCAAAAGAGATTGATATTAAAAACAACTAATGTTACCTAAATCAAACAAAAAAGTATCATTTTACAGTGAAAATGATGACGTTCTTTTTTATCTGCTGAAACTATGAAAAATTGTATAGAAAAAATATTGACGATTCAAAAATGCCTGGTTTCAACTATTTTGCACACATTTTGAACATGAAAAATTTCATAAATGCAGAAAAATTTGTTATCTTATGATATATGGTTTCTTAAAAATTTATAATAAATCATAATTTAGTGTTCATTTTTAGATGAGTATATATAAACCTGAAAAGCAATATACATGTTCGAAATTTTGTTATTTATTAACACAAAGTTGCTGAAATAATTACAATTCATCGTTATCTACGGATTTTTTTCAAATATCCATAACTATAAATGGCATGTTTATATGAAATTCTGTTTCAATTTTTTTTTTTGGATAATTTATGAATAAAATATTTCTATGTAACATCGGGACACCCTGTATGAATATTCTAAACATTTTTTTATAATTGAGGAAGTGATACATAACTTATAATAGTTCACGATAACTATATACTTACATAGTTTCGAAGATTTTTCGTCAACTATATCCATATGTTTGGAAGATGAAAATTCATCTTGAAGAAATTGAAGACTGAAGACTGAAGACTGAAGAAATAAGTATGCCAAATGATGATTAAATCCAATAAGTAGAATAAGTATCTGTTGACATAAAAAATAATGGATTAGTTATATGAACATGTTGTGTATTGTATCACTGATTTAATATTATGTTGAAAATATTACGAAAATTCATTCAAACACATCAAAAATTGCTAAAACATTGAGCACTTATTTCCCTCACTTTTTTTTATGAACTTTTTGATGGTTAAAACAGTAAATATTCAAATTTTCAAAATCGATTTATATTAAAAACAACTAATGATACCTAACTTAAACAAAAGTACCATTTTACAGTGAAAATGATGACGTTTCCTTTTATCTGCTGAAACTATGAAAAATTGTATAGAAAGAATATTGAAGATTCAAAGATACCTGGTATTTTGCACACATTTTGAATATGAAAAATCTCATAAATGCACGAAAATTTGTTATCTAATGGTCCAGGGTTTCTTAAAAATTTATAATAAATCATAATTTAGTGTTCTTTTTCAGATGATTATATATGAAGATGGTAGTCATTTGTAGTCTGAATTATATGTAAGATTTTCTTATTATTTTATTTTGTAAAATCTATGATTGAAATATTTGTAGATAATTTTGAGACACCCTGTATAACCATTCCAAAAATTTTTTTCAATAATAATAAAATTGTTAGAGAACTGATGATACCTTATGATATATGTTTACTTACGTTTTTAGAAATGATGAATATAAAATAATGTCGGTCC